ACCTTTAATTAATTCAATTATTGGCTTTAATTTTGGAAAATTTCAAAAGAAATTAGTTCTCATATGCCTACACTAATTCCACTTCCAAATGAATTTTAAATATTAATATTGTACAAATGTAAGAAATTATTTCCTTTAATTTAATAAATTATTAGTGTTACTTTGGCAAATTTCATTTCTTTCAGTTTCAGTAATTTTACTTAGATATAAATGCTAAATATTAATATTTTACAAATTTACTAAATCATTTTCTTCAATTTAATTAAATTATTAGTGTTAATTTGGGCAAATTTCGAAAATTAGTTCCCATACTTAAAGGTAAATTTAAATAATAAAAAACTCTAAATAAATTCCCCGTGTAATAGCAATAATTTTACTAAATAACAAATTAAAAAAAAAAAAAAACAACGAAAAGTTTCAAGTATACTCATAATACGCCTTCGTCAACATCACTCAAAAACGAATTAAAACATCTTCAACAATAAGCACACCGTCGTGCGTTTTATCATCGTTGTCCCCTCAACGATGTCACATTACTTCAACTAAATGACAAACGACGGTCGTTAAGTCGAAGGTAATGCAGTTACGAGAGGTGCATTTCTGCTTACTTGAAAGTGCATCTTGATGCACTTACGTAAGCAGCGACCTATTACTTTAAGATACGCGTATCGACGACGGTACAGCAAATTATTAGCAACGAAGATTGTCAAAGCACCAAGTGGCTCCACTATCAACCGATTTACGATGTTAATTAAACGACTCCTCGAACGTAGCCTCCAACCACCTATAAGCTTCCTATTCGCGCCCATGTGTAAACGAACCAGTCATGCGTGGTTAAATTGCAATCAAGCATAAAAATTGAATCAATTATCGAAAACAAGCAATTTTCCCTCGACTAGAACACGTTCTTCGAATGGGAAGTATCGAGCTTTGAGCAAACGGAAATGCATCGAGCCAGAGATAATTTACTTTGAAAGAAATTTCATTTCCATCAGGTAATCCCATAGAAGAACGTTAAATTTCCCGGAGAAAATTTAATAGAAGTAATTGTACAACTTTTTTTTATTTTGATTCG